AGTTACATATTTAAATTACATGATTTACGGTTAAATAACATGGTTGTTGTCATTTTATCTTTAGTTTGTGGGGAAAATCGGATAACTGGTGATTCAATGGAACACACCAACAAATATAGAGATACTGACTTCGCATTAACAAAAAAAACCCAAGTATGCGTTGGATGGATTACAGATACTTGGGAAAACAAATAAAGCTTGAAGTCAATTCCCTCATAAAACAATAAAATGCGTCTTACAATAATATATTCCCACTTTATGCACATGAGGGACTCCAGTTGACAGGCCATCATCAATATGATAATATTGCACACATGGAGTAAACATGTTTCAGATTTTTCACTAACACAAGATATATATACAAGGGAAGATAATGAAATATTGACCGTAAGTACACTCTGCATAAGTTAAAACAGTTTATATGGCATAATCCTAGGCACAATTATTGTTTGAATTTGTTGAACATGAGAGAAACAACTGAGTGTTGCGTTACATTCGGTCGATATGGTGGGCTACTCACAAAAGTATAAAAATGGCTTATAAAACGTTACTCAGTTTACCGTAAACGATGTTTTAAGCAATATAAACTGCAAAAGGCTCACCACAGCAGTTAGTATCCAGTTAAACATGCAGAGAAGTAATAATAATTCAGCAACCGGTGAATTTTTGATTCTTTTCGGTCTGGAACCTGAGTAACTGCGAACCAATCCATACAAAAATGTCGAAAGAGGCATGCAGGAGCAGAATTTTGCCATCGAATGAGTCATTGGGATCTGAGATGCAGCTATCAGCATATTTTCGTCATTTCATAGATATCCAGATTTATTGGCGCTGTATAGGTAGTGATTTGGATTTGTCATCATGATCGACATATGGATGAATATTCAAATATGTACTACAACTTGTTTTCCTTTTGGATTTAGTTAATTACATCACGTGTTGGGTTTGATTACTCTGCGATTTTGATATATTCCACGGTGTCGCCGTGATTATGGGAAGTGTGCATATGCTTTAAATGCATTACTTTGTTGGCTGCAATCTCCACTGAGTGTATACAACGGGAACTGTGGATTTATGTATTTCCTCATCAATGTGGATAAAGTATCGCCGCATTCCTTTTGGCATTCCTTTTGTGAGATGTAATCCAGTTGTCTGGCTTCTCTCGGAGAGTGTCTATCCAACGAAGTGGTGAAAGCGTAGCAGAGAGGCTTATGGTCCGTTAAGATAGTAAAATGTCTACCTTGTAGTAGGAAGCTGAAATGCTTTACTGCTAGGTAGATGGCTAACAGTTCTCTGCTAAATGTGCTGTAACGAGTTTGTGCAGGTTCCAACTTTTTGGAGAAGAAAGCAAGTGGAGTGGTGTCATTATTGAACTTTTGTTGTAAAACTGCTCCCACTGCTACCTGCGATGTATCTGTACATAAAATGAGTGAAGCTTCTGGATTGATATGAGACAACATTACGACGTTGGATAAGGCATATTTTGCGTTATAAAATGCTGCTTTTGCTTCTTCAGACCACTGAAATTTCTTTGAATTGCGTCTAAGTAGGTCGGTCAGTGGCTGAACTATGGAGGCACATGATGGAATAAAACGTCGGTAGAAGTTGAACATCCCGAGGAAACGTCTAAGTTTCTTTAAGGAATCAGGTTCGGGAAAGTTCTTAATAGCTTCTATCTTATCTTCGGTAGGTCTGATGCCTTCGGCAGTTATTCGATGTCCTAAAAATTCGATGGATGGGGAACCAAAAATACATTTCTTTGGATTGATCACAACTCCAAATTGTTCAAATCTTTGAAATAACAAGCTTAAGTGTTCCATATGTTCTTCCATCGATGAGCTGGCAATTAAGACATCGTCGATATATACAAAGACAAAATCAAGACCTTGGGTAACTTGGTCCATAAAACGCTGAAATGTTTGCGCGGCATTCTTTAGACCGAAAGGCATTCTCAAGAATTCGAATAATCCAAAAGGTGTGATAATTGCTGTTTTTGGAATGTCTTCTGGAGCGACTGGTATTTGATGATATGCTCTAACCAAGTCAACTTTGGTAAAAATAGTCTTTCCATGTAACGTCAAGGAGAAGTCGTGGAGATGAGGTATAGGATAACGGTCTGGTACCGTAGCGTTATTCAGAGCGCGATAATCTCCACATGGTCGCCAGTCGTGATTAGTTTTGGGAACCATATGCAAAGGTGAAGACCATGGACTGTTGGATGGTCGTATGATGCCCAGCTGCATCATATGTTCGAATTCCGACTTAGCTGCTGCTAGTTTATCTGGTGGTAAGCGTCGTGGACGTGCCTTCACAGGTTGTCCTGTTGTGATGATTTTATGCGTAACTGTATGAGATATATCTTCGACGTTGTATGACGGTTTAAGGATTTTCGGAAATCGTTGCAATAAGGTAGAGAACATTTCACTCTCCGGCTTTTCTATACAGATGCTATGAACAGAGTAGTCACCTGTAATACCGCGGATCTTGAGTTGGGTGCAATTGTCAATCAGTTTTTTCTTGCTGATGTCAACTAACAGATTGAAGTGACTTAGGAAGTCTGCACCAAGTATAGCGTGACGTACGTCAGCTACTATGAAGATCCATGTGAAACGTAGGCGTAATCCTAGGTTTAGAATCATTGACTGTTCACCATACGTCTGTATGTTGGTTTGATTGGCAGCGTGGAGTGAAAGTTTACCAGGTATTTTGGCTGATCGCCTGGATAGTGGGGGGGGAATAACACTGACCTCGGCGCCTGTATCTACCAGGAATAATGTGCCGGTAGTCAAGTCCCTCACGTAGAAAAGGCGACTGGGATGATTGCCAGTAACAGCCGTCGCCATTACTGCCTGGCTAGGGAGTTTCCCTGAGTTGCGTCACTACTATTGTACATGCACGGTCGGACACACTTCAGGGCATTATGCCCATACCTCTTATGGTACCAGCAAATGTTACGGCTTTGAGACGGTGTTCTAGAACGTCGTCTAGATCTTGGTCGCCGTTGCTTGGATACTGTCTGTGACTGGTTCCGCTGTGCTCGGAGCTCAGATACTTCCAGTCGTAAGTCTTGCATTTGAGATGTTAACTGGGAAAGTAACCAAAACATTGGTGTGTCCTTCATAGATGTGGAAGGGCTTGGTGGCACTACCTCTGTAGACACGCCATTTATGCCATTATTTGATAACACGTCCATGATATCGTCTGCCATCTTAGCTAGTTATTCAAGGTCTGTCGTCCTAGAAGATATTGTTAGGATTTGTTGGACGTTTTGTGGTAAACGTTGTAAGAACATCTGACGTAGAATTAAGTCATCTACTTTGTGTGATCCAATCAACTGGCGCATATGTCTAAGTAGTTGGGATGGCTTTTTTGTACCTAGATCACACGAAGTAAGTAGTTGTTGTATGCGTTTTTCATCGGAGAGAGTGGTCCGCTGGATAAGTGCAGCTTTTAGTTTGTCATATTGAGAGTCTGTAGGCTTGCTGTCTATGACATCGATAACCTCTCATAGTACTTCCGTGGGTATTGCTGCTAATACGCAACCATACATGGCAATCTGCGACGTAATACCTCGAGCTGCAAACAACTGTTCAATGATTGTGAACCAGACACGTGATTCAGCCAGATCAAATTGAGGTAGTCTTAAGTCCGGTAAGGCGTTATTAGAAGAGTTCTGTGTCTCTTCGCCTTTATTACCTTCTTCAGCAACAGTGGAACGTTTAGGTGGAGCCATTGTCAAAAAATATTTAAGTATAGAGATATACAAAATAGCAAAACGTATGGTAACAAAAATTAAGCAATGCGAGATTATAAGGTCAAAATAGCAACAAAAATGTTCAAAACGAGTTAACTATCGCAAAAATGTTCAAAAAAGGTTAACCATCGAAGAAAAAAATGTTCGAAGCGGGCTCACCAATTTTTGTGGTGGACCTTTTGCTCTGTTAGCTTATTTACCCAAAATTCAAATAGAAAACAAAATACCAAATCAATTGAGTTTACAAAGATCCAAATTCCACAATAAACGTACTGGATTCCAGAAGTGCTGCGGGAAGACTGCTCCAGTTCTAATTCTCTAGTGTTGACGTTGCCGGAGGTCGACCAAAGTGCGTAGGAAGAGGCTACGGTGCTCCTGCAAAAATTCGAGATAGAGAGCAGGTTGTTATAATTGATCGACGGCAGTTGAGATGGTGGAGAAGACGGAGAGTCGAAGGCAGAATTATATATTTTTTTAAAACTCGAGGGAAGTTCAAAGTACAGAGCTTTTGATTAAAACAAAGTAGTGTTTAATATGTTCATTTTTTACATAATAGTAAAATTTGGATAAGTTTATTTTTGTGGACTCCACACCTTTTCAAAGGAAGCCAATGTGCTTGCTAGCCGCGTTTTCGTCGACAGTTTGTCCCATTATTATCATTTTATTGTTTCCTTTGATTCCTAGAGGAACATAGGGCTTCAGCTGCACGTCTGCAACGTGTTCGGTTCCCTGCCAGCGTTTTCACCTGGCTCCACGTCTGCCCACATAATACCATCTCCACTTCACACAACCTCCTCCATGTCACCCTCACACTGACGACCAACTCGCTGCTTCCCACTCGGGTCTACTCGAGCAATGGCCTGACATGTGATGGATGTCACTTGATGGTTTTCTCAGAGTACAGCCAATCCACCCCCAGTTCTTCCCGTTTATCTGTTGCACACTTGGTTCCTGCTGGGTTGGTTCGCCCCCACCCTAACTTGTCCTTAGCTTAAAGAGTAACTTAATCTTTCCCAAACCTGAACTGAAACTTGCCAAATATCCCAGTAAATAAAATAACACTTCGATGAGCATATTTTATTGATGATGATGACATTATTTGCCAGGTTTCACTAACTTGCTCAGTGAGCTTTTTAAGGTCACTGGTGCGTCGCACTCCATTCGTAGTTAGTGGTGCTTTAACTTAGACTTCGCTGGCATTCTTTCACTTTGCTCACAAGGCTCGTATAAGCTGTTGAATAATCTTATGGATATTAATTATGGGACTAAAACAAAAGCGGCATTTTCAGTTTCGGTTGCTCAACACATCAAGATGTCGCGCGCAGATGTTGGTGAGTGGTTAGCTCTGCACGAAAGTGTTGTGAAAATCAAAAGTGGGTTAGATCCAAAATCTGGATTGGAGGAATCAGATGAAAAGCGTAAGTGCCTTAGGTTCTTCATATTCTCCAGCCTTCACCAGGGCAGAGATATCGTACATCAATAAGCTTCTGAACTCTAACTTATTTGAGACACGTGAAGCAGATTTTGAATTGCTACGATCTGATCCAAATCATCCTTTACACTCAGCTCGCACATTCCAAGAGTTGAACTTGTAGGTATTACCTGTTAACATTATATCTTACTACAACAGGAAAGATCCACTTCTCAGGGGTATCTCAGAACTGGGCTTTTACAGGCCATCCACTATCCAAGAACGAGCTCTGGGTAGTTTAATATCTGACAAGTAAGTATGCCACACATTTTATTGATTATTTTGTTCCTTTGAGTTCCGAGTGGAACATCGGGCTTCTTGTTTGAGTTTTAATGTTTTAGCACTTGTGGTGTTATTTCTTTTCTTATGGGGTGGGTTTGCTAGTGGTCGTTCAACCTCCCCTCTTTACCGGACTTACTACCAGTTAGGCGAGGTTTGTGTATCGGCGGAGATCAAACCCCCCACCACTTGCGTGTTTGGCGAGCATTCAACTGACGAACTACTTACGTACACAGTATGTCAGATACAATATGTTTTAACCCGATTAAATCACACCGTGTCTGGATTTCTAATTTTATGTTCATAATACAGTAGTCCCCGATTTATGAAGATTTGATCCTTAGCATACGCACTCGTAACCACTTTATTCTCACGTTGCGCTTTGTCTTTCTGTTTTTTTAAATTCTTCACATGAAGCACTAACACACAATAAATATACAACGTCATATTAATGTGCCTCTCACAGAACTTCGAACTAAACTGTTTCAGTAGTGGCAATCTAAGTGCTCTAAATATCAGTTATACATCAGTGTATCGGATTACATCATCTCAGGAGTGGACCTAATATTCAGCTGTCAATCAAAGGATGTGTGTACTACTCAGTACTTCTCTCCATTGTTTTTGTGGATGTGAGACTTAGCCGTTAAAAGTGGAAGTTAAGAGAAGGCGAGCTGTCTTTGGCGATTGGTTCCTGCGTCTTAGCTTCCGCGTTTAGTGGTATAATTTGGTGAATAATATTTGGGTCAGACACAATGTTAGGGAAGAAAAGAAATTAGAACAGTAAAGTTGTCAAGCTGCATCGATTGAGATGTTACACCTAGCAGTTGTCTACTTCATCGAACAGTTAGCTAAGACGAATAAGTTAGGGAAGAGTTAGGAGTGGTCAAATGAAAAAGTGGCATCAGTCGATGAAGTCTATGACTGTTGATTTGATCCAAATAAGCAGGTGTGAATTGGCTGGCTTGGCGCACCCTGGTATGCTAAGTAACAATGGTTGGTGACTGTTGCCAACACAACCTAAAGTAGTTCTCAATGGCTTAGGTGCATTCTCTCTTTATGAACTTCTAAATGCATTGAATTCTTACTATACTCCATGTGCTTATTCTTTCTCCTGTACATTGCCAACATGACTGTCCCTTTAGATTTTCGTCTACCTTTGTGTGGACCCTAAACTATCGCTGTTTGTTTTGCAAAGTTCTACGTTCAAAACAGTTAGTCACATCAGTTTTATCAAGCATGTGTCTATTTTTGTTTACCATGACGTGTTTTCACAATTATATTCATTAGACGTTGTTAACAACCTCACAAGATGATATCTCATTCTGTGAAAGTTAAAGAACCAGTTCATAAATTCAAGTTCCTTTGTCAAGTGCAACAGCCGATTATCTTTGGGTTTTTCGTTTTTTCATTCCAAAAATTAGCAATGTACCAGTGAATTTTAAATACATCGCTGAAGAATTTATGCAAGTTTCAGTCACTTGCTGTTAGTGCTTGCTCAGTAAACTGACCAGTTCTCAACTCACTTTGCTAACAGAAAGTAGAGCTGTGTGGTTGGCCGCTCGCACTGCAGAAATTGGCTTCTACTTGAAATACCTGGAATCGAAGGAATAGTTGCGTGACCATGTATCCCAGGGACTTGCTTGGAGTAGTTCTCGGAGTTGCGCCGGTGTGCAGATCTTACCACTCGCTACAAGGTAACTGGGTATGTACAGTTTTCTCAGTGGACCTCTGAGCCACCTCTTTCCTACAACAAAGAGGCAGCAATTCTGGCTTTTCGATCGTCCGGGGGAATCAACTAACTGCTGACTTGAAAGCGGCCTTCGACTCCGTGGATCGTGAGGTACTATGGCAATGTTTGACTGTGAAGGGAGTGCCAAGAAAGTACATTGCACTAATCAAGGCACTCTACTCAAACTCACGTAGCCGTGTAAGGGCTTATGGGGAATTGTCATCTGAATTGATAACAACCAGTGGTGTCCGTCAAGGATGTCCACTTTCCCCATTTCTGTTTAACTTCATCATAGATATGCTAATGGAAGTATCCTTAACTGAACTTAACGACTTAGGAATCGACTTGTTACCAGGGAATAGTCTTATGGACTTAGAATATGCAGATGACATAGTCCTGTTAGGGGAGGATGCTGACAAAATGCAGAGTCTTCTGAACACCTTGAGCAGCAATCTTCGTATGTTTGGCATGCGACTCGCCCCTGTAAAATGTAAGATGCTGCTACAGGACTGGACTACGTCAACTCCTAGCTTAGTGATAAGGAGTGAAGTGATAGAACATGTTGACCACTTCACCTATTTGGGAAGTTGTATCAGCACCAACGGATTGATTGGTGACGAAATCTCAGCACGGATCCAAAAAGCTCGGGCTGCTTTCGCTAACTTACACCGTCTCTGGCGTAGGCGTGACATCCGGCTATCAACCAAGGGACGTGTATACTGCTCAGCAGTTCGCTCCGTCCTTCTCTATGGCTCTGAAACATGGTCAATACGAGTTGAAGACATGAAAAGGTTGTCTGTTTTTGACCACAGATGTTTACGATCTCTTTCTCGCGTTAGGTGGTATAATAAGGTAAGTAATGTTGACGTTAGGCGTAGAGTGTTGGGCAAAGAGGGAAAATCAATCGAAGAGGCTATAAAGTTACATAGATTGAGATGGCTAGGTGACGTGCTGCGCATGCCTAACCATCGCCTCTCCCGACGGACGGGCATTACTAGCTGATATAGGTGCAGGTTGGAAAAGAGTAAGTGGTGGCCAAACAAAAACATGGCCTCATCAATCCATGAAATCCTTGACAGTTAAACTGAGTCAGGTAGGGAGATGCAGACTTCCGGGTTGGGGCCCTCGGGACTCCAAGAATCAATGGCTGGAGACAATAGGTGACATGGCTCAAAATCGTTGTCAATGGCTAGCGCAGATGTATTCAGTCTCTGTAATCTTTCATATTCCTTTCTACCATTACTCATTCTGTTTCACTCTTATACTTGTCAAAACTCTATTGATTCTCTTCACTCATTTTCTTGTCTACCTTTGTGTGCTATTTGGAATGTGGCAACTCGAACTGCTGCACTTCGGTGCCAAGTTCTATGTTGAATCCAGCAGCAGCAGCTGTTACATCCTTACCGGCCACCGGTACGAATTCGCCCTCAGTGTGAGCAATTCATGCTATCATGACAGCTTCTTTTTAGTCTAACTTCTACCTAATTAACACTTGTGGTTTGGGGCTATTTATGGGGACATTCGTTTTGGTCAGTGTAGCTAGTTGGGTCATTGACACACGCAAGCACACCTATCATTTCATTTCAGCTATCGATGAGGGATTCAGTTTGCAGTCTTATGCATGAAAGTATGGATAATGTGTCTTCAGTTTGAATAGGTCTAGGATATTTTGATGACTTAGGGAATGTGAGGAAGACTGCAATTTGTTTTCCTAAGGTTTTCGTTTTACAAACCAAGCAAAAAATTAAAGAAAAACAGAAGTGTGTAATAAATGTGACCTGTTTACTTGTAAATCAAGATTTCCTTCAGATACACTTCACTTCCTTGTAGTTATTCTCAATAAAGGAAAAAAATTCGTTAATGACATGATAAGACTTAGGGTCAGTAACCTTCACTATTCCTCTCGAAATGCTCTCATGTGGCCACACGTTTATAGCCTATGCCAGGTAGATCCTATTCAACGACTCCATGCGTTAATTCGAGTGTTCTTACAAAAGTTAAACGGTGAATGCGAACATCTGGCGCTTACAACCAGACTAGTAAATCTGTTAGTCTATCTAGGGGAGTTAGAAAACCACGAATGAACAACTTGTGTACACGGACTCCAAAATCCATCCGAGCAGATAGAACATTTGTCTGGACCTGTTCTGCTTACCGGAGACGATGGGAACGCAGCTCCTGACATTGCTCCAGTGCCTTGTGGATCAGACTTGAAGTCAAAGACTCGGTGTGATGGTCCCTTACGATAACTGCCTGTTTTCAGTATCCTAGCCGTCGCATAGACAATGCGATTTTGTTAGTGCCCACAGTGTGCCAATGGAAAATCGCCATCAAATGGTTCTTTAATCATTGCGTAACTTTTACCTTTCTGCATAAATCCAGAAGTTTTGATGATGGTAACACAGTTCAAAAGAGTTTAGTGAGTGGCGTACTGTTACGTCTGCTTTCCTCTACACCCACTACTCCAAACTGACAAGTCAATAGTGTCAAGTCCTCTTAGAAGTCTTTCAAACATCTTGGCAGATATATATAAGTTTAAATTCACCTTTCAGTCTGTGTGATACGTAAGCTTTGTATTAAGTTAAAACACGTGCTAATTTCATTATTCTGTACATAATGCAGAGTGAGTGTATCTGTTTTTTTCTGCGATTGTGCAATTAGTCAACACAACATAGGTTATACATGTAAATTATGCACCCTCTATATTTTCTATTTCAAACTTTAAAGAAGCTTTTTCAGCGATAATTTATTTATACAACTTTTTTTCAAGCCCACAAAATATGATAGCTCAATCTCAATCTGGAACCGGGAAAACAGCAACATTTCTGCTTGCAATGCTATCACGCGTCAACGCAGATGTTCCTTACTGCCAGTGTCTCTGTATGGCTCCTACACGTGAACTTGCCCTACAGATAGATTCAGTTGGTCAAAAGATGGCACAATTTATGTCTGGAGTATCATTTGCTACAGCTGTTCGTTCTCCACGAGGTACACGAAATTTCGCAAACTGTTATTCAGTTTTTCTTGTATATAATTTAAATTAGTATTTAATGTGTTGTTGTCATAACGAAGGCGGTTATATATATATATATATATATATATATATATATATATATATATAGGCAACATCCAAATGCGAATTTGTTAAAAATGTTTGGAAGAGGCTCCTACATCTGTGAACTATTGCAGACGAACTGTTAGAAGTAATGAGAAGTTGTTCTATCTGGATTGTTATATGAGTTTTGGCAGTGTCACGAATGACGTTTCTAGTCGTGACAAAAGTCTGGAAGGCATATACACCGACCTGAGCCACCTCTTACGCTCTCACATGTTAGTTTGACTATCAAATGTCGGGTTCAAAATTCTTAGTTGGTTTTGTCTTGGCCTTTCTGTGAAATATGGTCTCTCTGATATACAGATATTTTGTGATTACACCTTCAATCATCTTTGTCATCATAAAACTGCATTCATTAAGTGGTATTACCGTGTAAGTAATTCTAAGGTCCAATATAATATCTGTCCGGATTGGAGATTATCTTTAAGTAAGTATTGTCATCTCCGTACATTGACTTAGGAAGGCGTAGACACGAGTCATGAATGGTCATCCTAAACGCGGTTTTCTTCTCTTTCTATAGGTGGTAATATGAACAGATAAACACTTGAGTACTCTTCATAAATGTGCTCATATGCTTTTATTCTGTTGCTTACCAACTATATTGTTATCCTTTTCTTAATACTAATTTTTTTTAAATTACTCTGTATAGCGTGTCGAAATGCTTCAACCACACCTACTTTCTCGGGTTCTATTCCCGACCGAAGCACACCTAAACCTCGCTTAGCCGATAGTAGTAAGCTCGGTAAAGGGAGAAGGTTGGATTAGGATAAAGTTTCTAACCTCCGTCTGTTAAAAGACAACATCACGACCGCCACCGCTACTGAAGCTTTAATGCTTATGCTTGAAGAAGCCGTGTGTTCCCCTCAGAAGGTAAAAGAATTAGATGATAAAAGAGAATAGCGCATCTTCCAGCACTCATATGGTACTAATTTATGCGTTTTAAAGAGGTAGATAAGTAATATATACATATATATATATATATATATATATATATGTATATATATATTGTACGACTTACTTGTCATAGCGAAATTACGGTTCGGACGTTTATTATAAGACCACAGTTTCACTTTTACTGATCTTTTATTAAAAATATTTTCCTTCAACCCATTCATATATGTGTAACACTTGGGCACAATGGTAGTAAGTAATTCCATACTAGTTTATTTGTTAGATGTATCACACAGTGAAACCGTATTATTTACTGGATGACACAGTTTCGAACAAAATTTATTGTTCATAATCATTTAATCAATTATAATCACATGACTTCTAAACTTGAATTCTATAGTTTCCCTTGTTCTCTCCTATTTGTCGTCGTTGGGGTAGTAGAATTTTCCAGATATCTGTGTGGACAGGTGTTGAATAACTCCTATTACACGTATTTGCAGTTGGTTCGATAAACAAAGCTTCTGTTATCAAGCTTTGTCGGTTAAAGGAGCAATCCTGTGGAGCCTTTAAAACAAAACAATTCAGTTTACCTAATACCCTGCCGGAATGATTGTCAGGTCAAATACATAGGTCAAAGTAGTAGAACAGGGGCAGTCAGACTAGCTGAACATAAAAAAACTTAGCAAAATCTAGATTGGTTGACCCAAATAAGATAAGAAATCTAGAGAATAGTTCAGCTATAGCACTACATGCAATTACACACAACCATACAATAGGATGGATGTGATAAGATGACAATTTTAAAATCTAATGCAACTAACAGGGTGGAGGGAGAGATTGATAACAACGGAAGCTTTGTTTATCAAATCAACTGCAAACACATGTAATAGGAATGATCCATCACCTGTCCCCGATATCTAGAAAATTCTACTACCCATACGACAAATAGGAGAGAACAAAGAAAACTATAAAACTCAAGTGTCAAAGTCGTGTGATCACAATTGATATAATTATGAACAATAAATTTTGTTCGAAACTGTGTGATACATCTAATAAACAAACTAATATTGAACTCATTCAGCTTGTTGAAGTGTATTCTCTGGCAGAGAGATTTTCAGCTAGCCTACAGTAGTTTGAAATTGTTCTCAGAAAATTCATCATGAAAATTTTCTTTCATTTCTTTGAGTTTGAATTGGAACTCAAAGCCTCAAGCTGCTTTGAGCATTGAATTTTCAGTAGAAGTGGTGTTTCATTTACACACGATGGAGTTGTCATCCTCAAGCCTAGAAATGTTCCTCTCTTTACCAGACTTTTGGCAAGGTTTAAGAGTGAGTCGGCTGCGAATAAACTTTCAGACCGCTTGGCCAGTGTTCTATCACAGTGAACCAACCACGCATTGATTCATTGTGAAAGTTTTGCTAATTGAAATTAGTGTATCCAGTAGTAGGCATGTAGAATGTAATTTATATATTGACCGTCTGAAATAAAAGTGTTTACCGCGCAATTGCTTTGTTTTATTACGTGATGAATTTATTTAAATCATGGAAAATTCCCATTGTAACATATAGAAAAACAAAACAAATGATTCAGCGAAGAGACTCTTTTCAACAACGAATTTATCATCAAGCTGTACAATTGTAATATATATGGTTTTTAAGAAGTTATATCCGGTGAGGGAATTGAAACAGGTGTGAATGCATAAAATAATGATAATAATAATATGAAATGCAATTAAAACTAAAATGTTTGTGATTATAATCATAGTTAAATGTCAAGTGGCAAAGCAAATTAATGTCATATATAGAATAATTCATAGGATGGATAGAAATTGAAAAAGAATGTGCAATTATAAAATAAAAACGTTACGTAATATTGTGTGAAATTTAATAGCATAGGATTTAATTTTGTAAAAAAGGAATTGATTTAGAATGACAAGTGGAACAAGTGAAATAATACCGGGGACAATTAAAAGTGAGAGTAGTAATAGTAACAATTGACTTAATAGGGAAGAGTATACAAATTGAATAGACAAAAATGAAAAATTGGTAGAGCTAAAATATGATTGGGGATTACCATACTTTAGCATAGAGAGATTAAGACTATGAAAGTTGGAGGGGTTGAATGAACTTTTACTGTACACAGAGATCACCGGATATTTTATTTATTTATTTATTTATTTAAACGCATTAAAACTTGGTACAATATGGCACCAAGAAGGATGCGCCACACAATAATAATAAAACAACATAGATGAAAAAAAAGGAAGACAGGAAAAGAAAAAATATATATAAGTAGAGAACGAATAATGAACTTCATCTGGAAGGAAAACACTCATTCTTAACAGGTTCAAACAGTGTTCGTTAGCTATCATCGGGAATGGAAGAAAGAAGGAAATCGCAACACATTCGCCATTGATTACGATTCTTGGCCATATCCGATAACGTTTCGAGCCATCGATTTGAGCTATCTCTCAGACCCCAACCAGGGAGTCGTGACACACCGACCGATGCTAATCTAGCACAAATATCCTTCATCCCACGACGCCACGACATGGGCTGACCACCTCTCCGCCTTTTCCAACCCGTCCCAGGGCTAGAGAACAGAGACCTGTACGGAAGCCTCTGGGGTGACATTCGCAGCACATGTCCAAGCCACCGGAGCCGGTGTTTCCAGATGACGACATTCAATGAATGGTGATCTCCACTGTGTTCAAACACACGCCGCCGAACCTCAGAATTACTCACGCGATGATGCCATCGAACGCAAGCAATCCTGCGGAGACAGCGGTGATCGAACACGCAGAGTCGCCTCACATCCTCAGCTCGGAGAGGCCAGGTTTCACAGGCGTAGGGCAGCGCAGCCCGCACCGAAGCATTGTATACCCGACCTTTGACAGCCAGGCTAACGTCGCGACGGCGCCAGAGGTGGCTCAAGTTGATGTATGCCACCCTAGCTTTCATTATACGGTTAGAAATCTCATCCGTCACCCCTCCGCCAGCACTCACACAACTACCTAGGTACACAAACTTATCGACAACTTCAAGCGGTTCACCCGCAAGAGTGAGTGCAGGTACAGGCTCCTGCCAATCTTGTAACAGTACTTTGCACTTAGACAGCGCAAAGCACATACCATACTTACAGACACTGATCGCCAACTGATTAAGTGCGATTTGGGCAGCCTGCATGCTATCGCACAGTAAGACGATATCGTCTGCATACTCGAGGTCGAAAAGTCTATCTCCAGGTAGCAGATCTACACCACCTTCATACACAACCTTCAGAGCTGACTCCAGAATGTCATCGATGGCAAAGTTAAAGAGAAATGGTGAGATTGGGCAACCCTGTCTAACCCCACTGTTGGTTGGGAACAGTGGTGATAGTTGGTTGTATGCCCTCACTCTACCTGAGGTGTTTCTGTATAGGGCTTTCAAGATGTTAACAAATTTCTCAGGTACACCTCTCTCTAACAGACAGTTCCAGAGCACAGTTCTGTCCAACGAATCGAAGGCAGCCCTAATATCAAGAAACACAACGATCGTTGGCCTGCAATACGTGTGGCGGTGTTCCAACAACTGACGAAGGGTGAACACATGATCAATGCATCCACGACCTGAACGAAACCCAGCCTGCTCTTCGCGAATCAATCCTTCGCGTATTTTGCACAGTCTGCGAAGCATGACAGCAGCCAATATTTTAGACGCAACTGGTAACAGACTGATACCCCTATGGTTGTCACAGGAATTACGTCGACCCTTTTTAAAGATGGGGACGATAATGGCTTGGTTCCACATTGATGGTACGCTCTCTGTCTCCCACACCCTCCTGAACAACCCAGTTAGAGCCATTATGAGAGTCTCGCCACCCTCTTTAAAAAGAGCCGGGGGTAATTTGTCTGGGCCGGGCGCCTTATGGCGTTTCAGAACTTGGAGTTCCTTACGGACCTCCGCTTCGGTGGGTGGGTCGGTACTAACCGACCAAGGAG